TTCTCCACAACCTCGCCAGCATTTGATGTTTGCTGTTCTGTTAAATTTTGCTATTCTGACTGGGGTGAGATGATATTTCATAGTTGTATTGATTTGCATCTCTTTTAGAGTTATAGATTTTGAACATTTCTTCATATGATTGTTAGTCATCTGAATGTCTTCTTTGGTGAAGTGTCTGTTCATATCTTGTGCCCATTTTTCACTTGGGTTATTTACTTTTATCTTGTTGTGGTGCTCAAGTATTTTATAAATTCTAGATATAAGTCTGTTGTCTAACATGTCATTACCCAATATTTTTTTTCTCAATCTGTGGCTTCCCTTTTTACCCTGTTGGAGAAGTTTTTGTATGTGCATAGGGATTTGATTCTTAGAAGGTTCCATTCATCTGTTTTATCCTCTTCTGGTTGTAGACATTTATTGCTTTTTTAATGTTTAACTATCTTTGCATTCCTCTTATGAATCCATTTGGTCATGATATATTAGTCTTTTGATATATTGTTGGGTTCTATTGTTTCGTATTTTGTTAAGGACTTTTGGTTTTATGTCCATGAGAGATATTGGCGTATAGTTTTCTATTAGTATCTTTGGTAATCAGGCTTAAGTTTGCTTCATGGAATGAAGTACTGACTATTTTGGTAGTGACTTTGCATCAGGGGTATGTTTGCTTCACAGAATGAGTTTGAGAGTATTCCTTTTTTTCTATTTTTGGAAATATATTTATATAGAATTAGTGATAATTCTTTTCAGTATATTTGGTAAAATTTGCTGGTAAAACCATCTGGCCCAGAGCCTCTTTTTTATTGTGAGTTTTTCTCATGACTTGCTCAATTTCTTTTTTGTGATGTTCTGCTCAGATATTCTACCTCACACTGTGTCAGATTGGGAAGGTTGTGAGTTTCTAAATATTTGTCCATTTTCTCTAGGTTTGAATATTTGTTAGGATATGCTTTTTCATAAAATTCTGTTATTATCTTTTTCATTTCAATTCAATATTTTGTGATATGGTCCCTTCAATTTCTTATTCCGATTACTTGCATATTTTCTTTCTTTTCCTTTGTTAGGCTTGCCAGTGATTTGC